TGGAACTTATAAAATCACGTGTAATTTGTTATGTTACTCGAATATGCAAGTTGCTTTTGATTCATTTTGCTCATTTTGCGTAGTAAAAAGTGAAGTAAACTATCTTTATCGTTGGTTTACCGAAAAGGGTGTTGACTGTCACACAAATCGGGAGAGTAAAGGTTTTCTTAAAGGAAACTGCGCGACTTTATTCTGAAACATTTTTTTAGTATATTTTTTACTTACTACACAACAAAGATAACAAAGATGAACCTCTTTTTTCCGAAGCAAAAACCTAAAGCGAACGCTAAAGATGCTATTGTTCGCCTTAGAGAGACCTTGCAAATGCTGGAAAAACGAGAAAATCATTTGCAAAATAAGATCGACAGTGAAATTAAAATTGCAAGGTCCAACGCAGGCAATAACAAAAGAGGTGCGTTCAGCAATTTCACAGATTTTTAAAAGATCGACAATTGCTTTCTATATAATCATTTTTCAGTAATTATGTATTGTATAACAAATGGAAATATCTAATACTGTTTAACAAATTTTAATTTGTTACTTTATTATTTCCGTTTTCATATATCATTTGTGAAAAACATGTAAAAAAGATACTTGCCTATTTTGCTAATTATTTTAATTTTCGTATCATAATTTAGCTGCTTTGATGGCTCTTAAGCGAAAAAAACAATATGAAAGTCAGATTGAAAAGATAAGTGGTGCACGTATTACAATCGAAGCGCAAGTTATGGCAATTGAAAGCGCAAACGTCAATCTTGAAACTATTAGAGCCATGGAAAGTGGTGCTGAGGCGATGAAGGCGATACATGGGTCTATGTACGTCTTTTATAGTTATAAATCCTCCTATATTTGTATTATTTTATATATTTATATTAAAATTGGCAACTTTTATTTAAAAGGGATATAAATAAAGTAGACGATACAATGGACTCTATACGTGAACAGATGGATTTGGCCGATGAAATTTCAAATGCGATTTCTGCACCCATGATTGGTGTCGATTTAGATGATGTTTGTATCGTTTTCTTTTATTGATTTGATGGT